CCCCCCGACGAGGCTCACACCCCGCGTACGACTTTCACCCCCGTTGGGGGACCGACCCCCCCGGCTGCGGTGAACCGACCTGGCCAGCCTGACGTTGTCACCGTCGTCCTTCCCCCACTGCCACTCCTTCCCGGGATCCACGGCAAAGTGCACGGGGAGCAGCTTGTGCTCCGAGTCCGTCAGAGGGATGACAGCTACGAGGGACAGAAAACCCCCTTTTAAAGCCCGGAAGGACAAGCCTCGCGCGGCGACAGCCCAGCTCCGAGTGCCCACCCGGCACGTCGTGGGGTTTGGGGGCAACCGGCATCCCGCCGAATCCCACAGCGACCGCCAACGCTTGCCGTCACCGAACCAGACTCACGGAAGCGTTTGGGTCGAGAGGGAGCTCTGGAGCCGGGACATCTTCCGCTCGATCCCAGCCCCATCCAGCCTGGCCTCCAGGGATGGGACACCCCCTCCCCCAGGTCTCCGCCTGCGTCCCACCGCCCACAGCGCAAAACATTCCTTGGATCTAGCCCAAATCTCCCCTCTTTTAGGTTAAACCCGCTGAGCTCCTCTCCAGGCTACGGATATCAATCCCGTTCATCCCCCACCTTGATCTTTTGTGGGTTCCTTCTGCTCCATGGATACCAGGGCGGAAAAATGGGCTTGGTCGTAAGCCAGGACCAAGGGGGAACGATGGCATTTGTTGGCCGGCACTTCCAGGGGCAGGTAGATCCCTCCAAAGGGAATAGGGGCAAAGGCTGGAAAGAAATCCAGGCGGTTAATTTTTGGGATAGGTTTAACTCCGAGTTGTTTCTACGGAAACTGCTGCAGAATGAGCTGTTTGCTTCCTCCAAGCTTTCACCTGCAATTATCTGCCAGCTCAAGGGACACCAAAAACCCCGCCCCAGCCCAAAATAGACCTTATTTCACATCAGGGGGAACGCAGCTGCAGAACAAACTTGTGTTTTCTCTAAAAACCCTCCTTCACGCCCCCACGAAACGGCTTCGAACGTGCCCGCGGAACGATGGCGGGTGATTAAATCTCTCCTGACAGGAAATTAAGTCTGCCAGCGGAAAATGCTACACCAGGGGACGGAATTTCCCACCTCTACACGCACGTGTGGGGGTGAAAAAGTGGTAGAAACCCACCCCCTCACGTGGATGCTCTTGGAAACGGGCCGCGACGCTGAGCCGCCCGTCTCCAACTGCCCCCCACGGCACCCCCGGGAGTCCCCC